TATTCGTGCTTTTAGAGCCGGGGACCATGGCTTCCAGGCCTTGCAGAAGCCCCTTCTAGGACTATCGTTACTTAAGAGAACACGGCTGCACAGCAGGGCTACGTCTAGACTGACATGATTTTCTGCAAATGCTTTTAATGCAAAAGGTTTTTCCGTTAAAAGCATTTTCGGAAAAGAGTGTCTAGATTGGCAAGGACGCTTTTCCGCAAAAGCACTTTTTGCAGAAAAGCGTCCGTGCCAATCTAGACGTGCTTTTGCGCAAAAAAGCCCCGATCGCCATTTTCACAATCGGGGCTTTTTTGCGCAAAGCAAATCTGAGCTGTCTACACTGGCTCTTTTGTGCAAAAGCTTTTGCGCAAAAGGACTTTTGCCCGAACAGAAGCAGCATAGTATTTCTGCAAGAAACACTGATTTCTTACATGAGATCGTCAGTGTTCTTGCGGAAATTCAAGCGGCCAGTGTAACACCAGGTAAATCTCGTGGGAATAAATATTTGTTAGACTCAGTGGCTGAGTAAGTGAACCTCAAGCCGACAATAGGGTGAAATCTTGTCTGCAGCAGCTAAATAAATTGCAACACTTCCATTGACTTCTGTGAAGCCAGGGTCTCCTTCCCCACATGTCTACAATCAGATTTCTCTGGCACAAATGCCCTGCTACTGATGGACACGCTAACCTAGCACAGAGAAGAGCAGGAGGTTTAGCACTTCACTAATTCCTCTTCATTTCAAGCAATCCTACAGCTTTAGACACAAGTAGCCTGCACAACGTACAGACAAGGAAATGCCAGTTTCTTGTTATGATTAATAACATGGTGTATCTAATTCACCCCACAGTGCGCTGCACTAGGTAACCACTGGCACCCATGTGGTTGTGTCCCTTTTGGTGGCTTGCACACAAACGGGGGTTTGGAATCTGTTAAGTCTTTTGAGCTAGTGAAACAGTGGCCCCATTAGAGTCAATGGCAAAACTCCCATTGATCCTAACATAGCCTGGATTTCACTCATGATCCTTTAGTTCATATTCGTGCTTTTAGAGCCGGGGACCATGGCTTCCAGGCCTTGCAGAAGCCCCTTCTAGGACTATCGTTACTTAAGAGAACACGGCTGCACAGCAGGGCTACGTCTAGACTGACATGATTTTCTGCAAATGCTTTTAATGCAAAAGGTTTTTCCGTTAAAAGCATTTTCGGAAAAGAGTGTCTAGATTGGCAAGGACGCTTTTCCGCAAAAGCACTTTTTGCAGAAAAGCGTCCGTGCCAATCTAGACGTGCTTTTGCGCAAAAAAGCCCCGATCGCCATTTTCACAATCGGGGCTTTTTTGCGCAAAGCAAATCTGAGCTGTCTACACTGGCTCTTTTGTGCAAAAGCTTTTGCGCAAAAGGACTTTTGCCCGAACAGAAGCAGCATAGTATTTCTGCAAGAAACACTGATTTCTTACATGAGATCGTCAGTGTTCTTGCGGAAATTCAAGCGGCCAGTGTAGACAGCTGGCAAGTTTTTCCACAAAAGCAGCTGCTTTTGCAGAAAAACTTGCCAGTCTAGACACATCCCAGAAGTGCAGAGCAGAAGTGAAGCTCCCACAAAATAAAGATCTGCACTGGATTTACAATATGAAATCACATTCAAGACACAAAATATATTTGGTAGGTATTTGCTAGAAACTAGTTTGCTGGGCAATTTTTAGTGGGAGTTTAAAAACTCGTTCTCACCACTATACAATAGTATTGTAAGTCAACATCTGCGCATGTTGTAACACAACCAGGAAAAGATAAACCAAGCTGGCTTCTGTGAAGGAGAAATTGTGCTCTCAATCATCTCTTTTCTGGTGCTATGTGATAGGCCAATCCCTACAGCTAGGAGTCTGAGTCAAAGCCCACCAAAACAAACAAAAAGACTCCCATTAATTGCTGCAGGCTTTGGACCAAACCCCAGCTAGTTATTAACCAAGTGGTTTCAAACACCCAAAGGAAATTGAAATAGAGAAAATTGCACAGACAGGCCAAAAGGGATTATTATTAGGGTTGCCAATTTTGGTTGGATCTAGTCCTAGAGATTTAATTACATAAAAATCTTTAATTAAAGATTTATCTTTAATTCCTGAAGTTTCCAGGACAGTCCCGGTGGGTTGGCAACCCTAATTGTTATGAACACTGAATCAGACCTCCTTCAATTGCTCTTAAATATGCTTCCATTCTAGTAATGTTCTGGAAAACATTCAGAGAGAAGCGAGATTACCAAATTCCAAATAAAGAAGTTTTCCCATTGCAAAATGGTATTAATGGATCAGAAATTTTCCATGGGAATGAGGAAACTCAGCCCTGCAGAAAGACCACGATGTATGATGGGAAAGGTAGTATGGGAAGCAAGAACGGGGCCATCTCAGGCATCTCAGACAGGAGGAAGAGGTTAACTTCAAAGCCCCCTGCTCAGCAGCCGCAGAAGGTGCAGGCACGATGCGTCCCAACGTGGGCGCTCCGGGAGGGGGTGAGGAGCGCATGCGCCGACGTCCAGGAGAGGGGCGGCTCGCCGGTGCAGTGGGTACTGGCTCAGACAACCCGGGCAGGGACGAGAAGCACATGTGCCGGTATCCTGAAGAGAGGGCGCCAGATTTAAAAGGAGGACAAACCCCAGTGAGGGGGGGAGGAGTGGAGCTGAGCAGGAGACAACGGGAGAGACCGGAGGAGGAACCTGGACCAGGACAGGGGTCGCAGAGAGGGAAGGAAGCAGCCCAAGACAGGGCAGGACGTTGCCCGCGGACCAGTGAGTTTCAGGACGGACTCCACCACCGGTCGAACAGGTACCATCCAAGCCTGTTCTTAGGGTCCTGGGCTGAGACCTAGAGAGAGGGCAGGCCCAGGTCTCCCTTCCCCCTCGGCAACCCGGCCCTTCTTGGGTCCGAGCATCAAAAACCCGGACCCTGGCCGCAACCCGGACCATTAATTTATCCGTGAACTGAGGCGGACCATAGCACCCTATAACACAGAGTCAAGACAAAAACAAGCAAACCACTAATGGTTGGACTCTACTACTCCGGAATACATCAATTTTACTCTAAAATATGATCACCCCAAGTCACTTTCGATCTCTGCCTCCTATGGAATTTTAAACCTCTGGAAACTTGTGGAAAACACACCTGTGCCCACCGGGCTCAATAGTTATAGCCCAATAGTTCTTTGGTTTCTTAATTTTAAAAAAAATTAAATGTGTATGACAGTAGCATTTAGTGATGTCAATCAAAGATCAGGGGCCCTGTTGTGCTCAAGAGCAATGGGCAACCGAGATTAGCGAGTAGGTCACATGAGTGGCGCCCCCATGAGTGGGCTGCACGACCAGTGGTAGGCAACTTGTAGCCTGCCACCCACTATGGTTCCACCTGTGGCCCGTGCATCTCCCTCTCTGCCCCCTTTCCGCACACCCCTCTCGCACACTGTGGCATTGGAGCTCGCAGCGTTGGCTCCCGGGCAAGGTGGGTGGGCGACAGCTCCATGCTCCAGAAAGGGGCAGGGCCAAGAGCAGAAGGGGAGTGGCTGAGGGCAGAAGGGGAGTGGCCGAGAGTAGCCAGTCCTCCTTGCTGCCCCCAGTGCATTGTGTTCCCCCCCAGCCCTTAGCATTGCTGGAGTGCATAGCCCAGTGCTCCTGTGGCAAAGTGTTGGGAGAGAGGGGGAGAAATAGGAAGTGTGGAACTCCAGTGCCCCAGTGTGCAAGAGGCTTGTAGGGGAGGGGGCAGACAGGGGGTGCACAGGCTGCAGGTGGGTTGCAATTGCCCATCACTGGGCTAACCACTGTACAGGCCCTTAACCCGACCTTCAAGGTCTAGTATAGTAGAGATCTTGGGGTCATTGTGGGCCACAAGCTAAATATGAGTCAACAAGTGTGACACTGTTGCAAAAAAAGCAAACGTGATTCTGGGAGGCATTAACTGGAGTGTTGTGAGCAAGACACGAGAAGTCATTCTTCTGCTCTAGTCTGCACCTATTAGGCCTCAATTGGAGTAGTGTGTCCAGTTCTGGGCACCACATTTCAAGAACGATGTGGAGAAATTGGAGAGGGTCCAGAGAAGAGCAACAAGAATGATTAAAGGTCTAGAGAACATGACCTGTGAGGGAAGAATCGGGCTTATTTAGTTTGGAAAGGAGAAGACTGAGAGGGGACATGATAGCTGTTTTCTAGTATCTAAAAGGGTGTCACAAGGAGAAGGGAGAAAAATTATTCTCTTTGTCCTCTGAGGATAGGACAAGAAGCAATGGGCTTAAATTGCAGCAAAGGAGGTTTAGGTTGGACGCTAGAAAAAACTTCCTAACTATCAGGGTGGTTAAACACTGGAATAAGTCACCTAGGGAGGCTGTGGAATCTCCATCACTGGAGATATTTAAGAGCAGGTTGGATAGACATCTAGCAGGGATGATCTAGATGGTGCTTGGTCCTGCCATGAGGGTAGGGGACTGAACTTGACCTCTCAAGGTCCCTTCCAGTCCTAGTATTCTATGATTCTATAATGAAAAGGCCATCTGAGTAGGTAGGTTCTCTTCAACCATCCCTGGTGTACCTGCTCCACTATCAACATCACCATGTGAACACAGCCCATTATTACCAGCCAGATTCCTTCCACTAGCACAGGTTTAGCAGCTTCCCAAGAGGCTCTGGTTGATGAAAATTGAGTTCACGCTAACCTTGAGTGATTGGAAATGGTAAAAGGTTTCTGCATATCAAGCATTGTGGATCTTCTGCAGATTCACAGAGGAGTAGTCCTTGCAGGAGCCCCATACGACCTCCTGCACACATTAAATTACTGAAATGTATTTTCATTTGTACTTCATAGCAAGTGAGCTAGTGCATGATTGTGCTCCTGTGGAACTCAACAGGAGCATTGCCTTTAACTTTAGAGAGAGCAGGTTTGGGACAAGTCTTGGGAATATCAGTTTTACCAAACATTTCACCATTAGAAGGAGGAGTGTTAAGCACTGAAGAAAGTGATGTAAGAGAAATGATGTAATTAAATACTGAAACACTGACCAATTGGCCTCTAGACAGATTTTATTGAAAAAGACTGTTTCAGCAACAGTAGTTTGAAAATATATAGTCAAAAAGATATGTTTAAAAATTTAAATGTTAGAAATCTCTTAAATGCTTCATCAATAAGTTATTCCCCTTTTGAGTATGTCAACTTCCATCTGGAAAAGGTGCCTCTTCCACTGTGGCATTCTTGATGAGATCACCAGCGCCATGTACGTCTGCATCCGCTGGAACGTGTACAGCTTTCGCTAAGTGTTTTTAGTTGACACTTTGTGCCAGGCAGTTTACTGAGCTCATCAGCTATTCTATTCAAGGTCATCACATAGAATGGTAGGGTTTAAAACAAAACCAAAACCAACAAGCTTCTTATCACTTGCTAGTCCTAGGAGTGCAAATACAGTTCAATTCTTACTTGTTGCAAGTTGCAACTTGACCTCAGGTGCTTATATAGGTGAAAGGACTGTGTACACGCAGGACCCAATCCTGAGAGAGGCTGAGCACCCCCATTGACTCTAAAAGGAGCAGCTCTGATTAGGCACTGAGGCGAGGTCTACACTAGACCTGGAAGGTCAGGCTAAAGTACGCAACTCCAGCTACGTAAAATACGTAGTTGAGAGTCAGCTTACCTTAAGCCGAGCTTCATGCCGTCTTCATTGAGGGAGGCCAATGGTAGCAAATGAGACTGCGAGGCGTACCAGTGCTGAGCAGAGCCACCCTCAGCATTCGATGTAGTGGGTCTTAATGAGACCTGCTAAATCGAATGCCAGATCAATCTCCAGCATGGCAAGTGAAGATATGGCCTGCGACACAACTAACTTAGTCCTTTGGGAGCTCAATAGATCTGCCCCTGTCAGATTCCATTTACTTAAGACAAGTCAAAATACCAGGCTATATTTCAGGCCTAGCCTCTTCGAATGAGAGATCAGGTTGGGTCCTTCCCCTGATTTTGACAGAATCCTGAAACTGATCTCTGGCCTTTAGTAGCTGAAGTATCCTGCTTCATGGGACAGTGATGTGGGATGATTCTTCGCTCATTCAACAGTTTCCATGACCTCCATAACAAGCGTTCGCGGTCCCGTCATGATGAGGCTGGTGATGGTCGGATAATCCAAATGCAGGACGTACATTCCATTCACGGAGAAAACAAACTGACACACCTGCAAGGGAGAGAGAGAAATGTTTTACCGTGACGTGACTGCACCACCATTCTAGCTGCGCCTGCTCAGAAAAGTTTGACTTTGTGATGCAGGTATCTCTTACCAAATCCTATAGCTCAGTGGTCCCCAACGTTTTGGGGCTGCCGGGCGCCTGGGGGTAGGGCCGCTCACGCGCTGGGCGTATGGGGGCAGGGCCGCTCACAGGCCACGTGACTGGGGGCGGGGCCAAGCATGCGACACACACCCGGGGCCAGCACCAGCATGTGACGCCACCCCGGGCAGGGGCCGCCCAGACACTGCACACCCGGGGCCGGCACCGGCATGCACCGCGCACCCAGGGCAGGGGCCGCCCATGCGCCCAGGGCTGGCACCTGCCGCACGCCCGGGGGCGGGGCCAGCCCAGATTGCTCCGCAGGTGCACATAAATGGCCTGGCGGATGCCATGGCACCCACGGGCACCGCGTTGGGGACCACGGCTATAGCTGGAAAGTACTTTATACACTTTATAAACTGCATTGATAGTTACCCAATTCTTAATAGCAACCAAGGAAATTTATATTGGGAGCAAATGCAAAGGCCCTTTTATGAGCAGGTCACATACCTGTAAAAGCTGACTGCAAAACTTGTTGATAATATTTGCTATTTTTTAAACGAGGAGATAGAGGAAAGGCTCAGATGAAATGGGCTCTTGAGCAAATGGAACAAATTCACCAGAACCTTGTTCTCTTCCAATTTTGCCTGATACTAATGAGCAAATTTAATTGTTTCTGTCTCTGAAGAATCTTATTACTTCAAATATGCCAGTAAGTCACTTGAAGGATATATAAGATTTGTACAAAAATTACTCTTTGGCTGCTGGGGGTTCTATGAATTTCCTCTTTCCTTTGCTCCTAGAAACTGATCTTCAGCCAGAGCACAAACCCCATTTATTTTTGGTTTGTTGGTCTAAAATGGTTTTCAGAAGCTCAATTCATTGTATGTGACCTGGAATCAGCAGAGCGATTACAAGATGAATAAAGCCAAACTCGTCTCCCTGTCCTCCAAGGGAATGATTTATCACTGGAGAGTCATACGCCAGCTTTCACGTGCAAAGAAAACACGCAACTTACTTTTTAGTAAAACAGAACACTCTTAATACCCTAGTAACTTTAATTTCCTGACTCATTAATGGGCCTTTAGAAATGTGTCAGCTAGATCTAAAAATAGCTCAGATACCCATGAGAAAAGGTTACCTGCCAAACTATGAGTAAACTGAGACTACTTCCCAATAGACTGGAAAGCAAGTGAGCCCACACCACCAACTGGACTACCACAATGCATCATGGAAGTTGTAGTCCATCTGGGGAGTTTGGTCCATAGGAAAAAAAATGAGATGAGGCATCTGAACTACAAGTCTCATGAAGCATTGCAGCACCTCAGATAGGGACAGTTCAGTGTAAAACCAAGCCACCACAACAGCATTTCCAAACTTAAATTTTTCTGTACTTCTCATCCCATGGACTGTGTCTACCACAATGCATCATGGAAGTTGTAGTCCATCTGGGGAGTTTGGTCCATAGGAAAAAAAATGAGATGAGGCATCTGAACTACAAGTCTCATGAAGCATTGCAGCACCTCAGATAGGGACAGTTCAGTGTAAAACCAAGCCACCACAACAGCATTTCCAAACTTAAATTTTTCTGTACTTCTCATCCCATGGACTGTGTCAATATTTTGATTTTTCATCCCAATTGAGGACAAAAACAAATGCTGAAATTCCAATCACAGGAGGGAAAGAACAAGCAGTTTTCTAGTGAATACACAACACTCTGCTAGATCGCGTGTCACATTTCCCTGGGCATCTGGGCTGCGAGAGGATAACAGCCTATTACTGCTACCAGAGAATGAGTTACTCCTTTAATTGAAGTAGAGGTCTGTGCTGCAGTGGTGATGGTCTTGAGTTTGAGTGCTGTGGACAGCCCCATATGGGGAGACTCATTATAAACAGGCAACTGATGAAACTGAAGAGAATGACATAAACAAGAGCCAGATCCAGCGAGGGCAGACACGGTGCAAATCTCACGCAGGTCGGACATCTCCTGAACAGAGAACAATAGCCAGAGCATTCAAAATTCTTCTGAGAAATAAATTTGTCAGGTGACCTCCAAGCCCCGACTCCCTTTCAAGCTCCCACAGCATAGGAGGGGACACAGATATTTGCTGACACCTGTCTGTAGAGGCAACGCCACGTCATGGGCTATGCAATGTATCCCTTCACATTGACTCTCCCATACACAGGTTCAGATCAGAACAGCAACAGCCTCCGCTGGGTCTTCCTACGCCTTTGAAAAGAGCCAAGCACCAGCCACTTTAACACACAGGGGTCCGATTGCTGCTAAGGTGCTGCATGCTTTGCAATCCTCACCCAAAACGTCGCAGGGACAACTGCAGCTTGGAGACATCACAGCGAGCGGCCACTGCACTCAGTGGATTCATGCTGAGGGTGAACTTGGCCCCACACATTTGATCAGCATACAAGTGATAGCCCATGTTAACAACAGGGAGGTCCAGGTTGGACAGTACCTTCATGCCGGCTGCAGCAGCTGGTCCTCCTGGGTCCACAGCTTGGATGTGGCAGGGTCTCCCTCCACGAACCACAAATCCCCAGCCCACAGCATCGCCCACAATCTGCAAGCAGAACAGAGGGACTGTAAGGACTTCACAAGTATTGTCTTGCCTTTGCGTCGATGACCATACAAAGGAGCTCTGCTGAACTACTGGGGTCAGCATTTAGCCTTGACCCATTATCACATTAACTAATTGTACGGAGCTGGGTTATTGGTAGGTGGGATTGAACCTGCGGCCTTAGAGGCTAAACCCTTGTGCCTCTACCACAAGCTAAAAGCCAACTGCCAAATAACTAAGGCTGTAGAGCAGACTTCACTCTCCCCTCTCGGTGGTCTCAGTGCCTCTGGGTTACTGAGTGAATCCCCCACATACTCTACAGCGAGGAACTCAAAAGTGGGCCAGCCTGAGAATGTCTTCACACATCTGCTTATATAACCTTGATCTCGGTGGCTAGGGGGCTTGACCAAGATGCAGGGACCCAGGTCTGACTCACCATTCTGCACCAGATCTTGAATTCTATGTTCTCCCTCTCAAGCAGCGTCCTAAGCACCAGTCCACTGGTGGTTCTGTGGTGTGCTACTCTCGCTCCTGTCTCTTGGAGCAGTTCCCCTGCGTATAAATACTTCAAAGAGCCAAAGAGAGAGACTAACTCTTGAACCTGGCGACGAAGGTACTCACCGGTAGGCAGGCGAGGACTTCAGCTTTCTCTCTGCCTGATTCAGAATAAGAATTTGAATCCACATCGGCTACGTCCCAGGTGAGTGCCTTCATTGTCAGGCTAGAGTGGGTCTCCCTCACTCTCTCCGAAAGAGTTTTCCTGTAAGCTACGTCTAGACTGGCATGATTTTCCACCAATGCTTTTAATGGAAAAGTTTTTCCGTTAAAAGCATTTGCGGAAAAGAGCATCTAGATTGGCATGGACGCTTTTCTGCAAAAGCACTTTTTCCGGAAAAGCGTCCGTGCCAATCTAGACGCAGTTTTGCGCAAGAAAGCCCCGATCGCCATTTTCACGATCGGGGCTTTTTTGCGCAAAACAATACCGCGTTGTCTACACTGACCCTCTTGCGCAAAAGCATTTGTGCAAGAGGGCTTTTGCCGGAACGGGAGCAACATAGCATTTCTGCAAGAACACTGACAATCTTACATGAGATCGTCAGTGTTCTTGCGGAAATTCAAGTGGCCAGTGTAGACAGCTGGCAAGTTTTTCCACAAAAGCAGCTGCTTTTGCGGAAAAAATTGCCAGTCTAGACACAGCCCTAGTGTTTAATGTGCCGTAAACCAGAGAGTGCTCCAGGTTTTAAAACCACACTGGCTCTTTATTCCAAGTCCTGTTTACAGGGAAGTTGTAACTATCATTCCAACCATGTGCACACAGACTAGCTCATACCTCCTCCAGACTCTTCCCTCCTGCAAACCATGCTCCTCCCTCCAAGTTTCCTGCAGCTTACTATTGTCTGCGTGACATTTGTGACCACTTCTATTCAAGAAGAGGTGCATACAGTAATAAAATAAGTTGCACTAAGAATATATCCAGTCTTTGTGTTGCTCATTTCCCTTGTAACAGGAAACCAACCTGCTAGACCCCTAACATCTGCTATCACTCATCAGAGAAACAATATATTTTTGGGTCATACACCCAGACTCAAAACCACAGGGTTTAATTTCTAACTAGTATTCCAAGCTGTCAAGGCTCACGCGTAGACAGTGCACGGTTTAAAGCAAGTTGTGTGCAGAGAATATACCAAGAGACACTGCTATAACCATGCATAACGCTCACACTTTTGCTGGCAAGGGAAAATCACAGGCTGAACAAAAACATCTTCTTTCCGCAATTTTGCCACCCCAATCCCAGCTTGTCCGAGAAGCATGCTATGACGCTGAAAGCAGCCGCTTTGCGCATTTGGTCAGCCTGGACAAAGGAACTCTCAAAGGGCATCACAGGTTACAAAACTTTAAAGCAGTAGCAGCAGCGCAGCTAAGGAGGGGAGGTGAGCCATGCACAAGGGCCAAAGCAGCAGCTGAAAGGTATGGCCTGACAGAGTTGAAAGTCAGGGCAAGGCTGGTCCTGAGAATGGATGGCATGTCCTTAAACATACCAGCCAGAAAGAGGCCAAACAGGTAGTCACTTTTTTTTGCACCCACTAATTTTATAGCCAAGGAGGCCCACTGATGGGGGAGGCAAAAGAGGCAACTGCACTAGGACCCAGAACTCCTGGCTACCACCACTACAGCTGCAGTAGCAGCCAGAGCTCTGAGTCCTTTAAATCGCCGCTGGAGCACTGAACAGTGTGCTCCAGGCAGCTATGAGTGCTGGCTGGGGAGGAGGGGGCATGGTGCACTCTGGGTGGCACTGAGGGCTGGCTGCCCACAGCCTACCTCTTCTGCCTGAAGCCCCACCCCTTCTGCCGGAGGCCTCACCCTTTCCAGGGGTATGGAGCCACCCACCCTCAGCGTCTCGGGGTTGGATGGGAGGACCAGGCTCATGGACTGGAGAGGCCTTCCATTCAATTCCTGTGCAGGGAGCAAAGAAGGAAGGATGGAAGATGTTTGCAAATTATCGTTTGGAGGGGAAAAACGATAGATAGGTCTTCAGGACAAGGACTGTCTCTCACTACATGTGCACACAGTGCCTCTCACAATGGAGTCTTCATCTGCTGAAGCTTCTAGATCCCAAAGTAATACAGATCATAATAAAAAATAAACCCAACTATGGTTTCTTAAGTCATCCTGGGTTCTGAATCAGCTTAACCCTTGACTGTTCCTAGTGTTCAAGTCAGTGATCTAGTCCCTTTTGGACTCATAGCGTATCTTGATAACCTTAGAGATGCCTTCAGTGATCTGTAAATGAATCATACAAACCAGGTGTGCACCGAGTGGCATGGAAAGGCAATCCGCCTGTGATGGGAAAGGGAAATGAATGTCTTTGTCAAGCGACGCTGAAGTTGTACAAGCCTGCAGGAAATGCAATGGAGTTTTTCTCCTTACAGACTGGCTACGTCTACACTGCAGGCTTTTTGCGCAAGAACTGTTTTGCACAAGAGTTCTTGCACGAGAGTGTGTCTACACTGCCATGTGCTTTTGCACAAGAGCATCCACGACAGGGTGGACGCTCTCTTGCGCAAGAAAGCTCTGATGGCCATTTTAGCCATAGGGGTTTCCTGCACAAGAAACCCCTGTTGCCCATCCACACTGCCTTCTTACACAAGAACTCTTGCGCAAGAGGGCTTATTCCTCATAGGGAAAGGAATAACTCTTACGCAAGAAGCCCTCTGTTCCAACACCTTACTGTAAATTTACATGTGCAAGAACGCATGTGCAATATAGACGCTCCGCAAGTTTTTGTGCAAGAACAGCTGTTCTTGCACAAAAACTTTGTAGTGTAGACATAGCCAAAGACTTTTCTCCTTTCTCTGTCCCAACATATGTACACAAACCATGAGCAAGTGGCAGGCACTTGGAGACAGCTACTGCCCGTTCATGAGCTTCTTGTGAGTGGAACAAAGAAACAAGTCCTGATGATGTGAGAGTCACTCCAAATGTAAACACATAGGAGTGAAAATCTACAGCACATAGAGAGCTAACAGAGCATTCCGGAAGAGATGAGCATAGCTGGTAATGTAACAAAATTTGGACTGGTTACTTACGGTTAGCGTTTTCTTGATGTATGGAGCCCCAGGGGACAGGAGCTCCTCATTGGTGACAGGCCTCTTTAACACTAGAGCCCAAAGTGACAGATCCAATGACAATCATGTGTGCAAAAGTTAAATGCAATATAATGCATAATAAGGAAGACTAGGAATTACCAGCTTGAGAATGGTTGGGCAAGCCATCCAAAGCTGTTCTCTGCATACGCATTCTATGAGAACAGAGCAAGTCTGAGACAAATTCAAAGACATCTTCCTTCTCTGTGTTTCCTCTATACAAGTATTAGAACTGGCAGGGAAAGTTTGTGAAACGTCCCCCTACATCCCACAACAAAAGAGGTGGTTTCTTAAAACAAGTCCCCAAAAAAGTGTTTTAGCTGTTTTTGAAAATGGAAATCACAATACTATTTTCTAAAGAAAACCTGAAAGATTTTGATCAACAATTTGTTTTCTTCAAAAAAAAAAAAAAAAAAAAAAAGTGTTTCTAGAAATGAAATATGTTGCAATGTTCTCTAAGGCTGTGTCCAGACTCAGGGGTTTTTTCGAAAAAAGTAGCCTTTTTTCGAAAAAAACTTCACCTGCGTCTAGACTGCAGCCGCGTTCTTTCGAAATTAAATCGAAAGAACGCGGCTTTTCTTTCGACAGTGGTAAACCTAATTCCACGAGGAAGAACGCCTTCTTTCGAAAGTGCTCTTTCGAAAGAAGGCGTTCTTGACACCAAACTGGCTTTTTAGAAAGAGAGCATCCAGACTCACTGGGTGCTTTCTTTCGAAAAAGCGGCTTGCTTTTTCGAAATTCCGCGTGCAGTCTAGACGCGCTCTTTCGAAAGAGGCTTGCAGTCTAGACATTGCAGTCTAGACATAGCCTAATACACACACACACACACACACACACACACACACACACACACACACATATACAGGAGGGCCTTTAATGCTGGACTCCACACACACACACACAGAAAGAGAGAGAGAGTCCATCATTAAAAGGTCCTTCTCCTAAGACAGACCAAAACACCACCACGAATCTGCGGGTTTGAAGTGTGCTGTTTCGGTGAGAGAATGAAGCCTTTCAAAAAGACACCCTACCTCAGGAAACTTTCCTCCACAGTTAAAAATGCTCGCGATCCCAGATCGAAAGCCTCTCTGACAGAACGGGGTTTGTTTTTAAATCAGAAACGATCTGCCCGGAGAGCAGAGGAAGCATACAACATTTCAGGGAAAACGGCTTCATTGCTATGAAAGGTGATGTATAAAAAAGAAGCAATTTCAAACTTAGTGATGGAGTGGCAAAGTGGAGGCTTTTTCTGGGGCCAATCCATTTACCAAGACTTGCACCAAACCAGGAATTGAGTGATCTAGCTGAACTCCCCCTCACGTTGTTCTTGCCATCCCACTCTTTTCTTTTAGGCCTGTTGCAATTAGCCTTCTTATCACCAGTCTCAAATCCAATAAAATCTCTTCAGCCTTCCTCCGTGTTAGACACGTGGCCCTGAAATGTGAGCACTCACCTGATTTGGGGTTGCATTCAACTGCCGGCAGAAATCCCAGGCTGGGTGGAGCAGTGAAATAGGAGTTGGCACTTCCGGCAAGAGAGGTGACGCTGCTCCTCCGAACAGCTGAGACTAGTCTGATCTCCTTGTTGGGCTGGACTGAAAGACACACACATGCAACTCCTCCCATGATCTTTGCTGGGGCAAACAGACCGGTTTGGCTGGAGTTTGGCCTGCTTTTTCAACCCAGGCTTTGCAGTCACATAAATGGATCTGCTCATCCTCAATGCATGCACTTTTACATGCCCTCAGCCACGGAAATCGGTCCTCACTAAATATCCGGCCCAATTTGCAGACTCAGGAGGTCCGAATGATTTAGGAAACATGAAACCTTCAGATGGTCTCCCTTCACTGGTCTTTACTCAGCAACAGCTGTGGGTGTGAGGGGTCAGATCCCAAGGCCAGATAGGACTCCCTTGATCAACTAGACTGACCTCCTGGATAACACAGGCTAGAGAACGTCTCCAAGATACTCCCTACAGCAAATATTTCAGAAAAACATCCAATCTCCGTTTAAAAAATGGTAAGTGAAGGAAAATTCACCATGACCCTTGGTCATTTGTTCCAGGGATTAATTACTCTCACCATTACACATCTGTCTGATTTCCAGTCTGAATTTGTCTAGATACAACTTCCAGCCATTGGATCGTGTAAGTCCTTTCTCTGCTAGATTGGAGAGACCCTTGTTAAATACAGGAAAACTCCAGTTGTCCGGGATCCAAGTGTCCAGCACTCCCAATAGTCTGGCATAAACTGGAACCCGAAAGTGCTCCAATCAGCCGCTCTCACGGCCGGACCACTGTGAGACACATGCATGTTCGCAGCCCCGCACCGTTCCGCTCATGGTCCCCAGTGTACTCAGTGCCCAGCCTGCACTTGCTAGCAGTGGGCCGCTGAGCACAGGCAGCTGCCTTGGGACCCGGACATAAGGTTGGGGGAGAAGGCAGACTGGGTTACAGCAGGGATGGGAGGTGTTTGGCTCCGGAGAAGGGGAGGTCAGGAAAGGGGAGCGGGATTGGGTTGGGAGTATGCCCTCTTATCGTACCTCCCGCTACTCCGGCATATCCGATAATCTGGCACCACCTAGGTCCCAAAGGTGCCGGATTATCAGAAATCTACTGTATTTGTTCCCCACATTGCCACTTATGGACAGGGATCATTACACCTTAGCCTTCCCTTTAAGCTAAATAGGTTGACCTCTTTGAGTCTATCACTATGAGCCTGCTTTCTCGTCCTTTAATCATTCTTGTGGCTCACTTCCCAGCACTCTACAATTTATCAGCACCATTCTTGAGGCTATATCAACATTAGAAAGCTTTGGCAGTGAAAGTGCTGTCGACATGCAAAACTAGCCAAAAGTGAAAACCGATCAGACTGGTTTTCTTGCCTTCCATTATTGACATTTTATGGCCACATTGTCAGCACGCTATCAACAGAGAGCAAAGCAGTGTGGGTAAGCATCCCACAGTGCAGTGTTGTGAGATCCCTTCACTTCTTGGGATGCCTTCCTAGCTCTGGGAGTTCTCTGTGCTGAGGAATGTCAAAGCAGCACAGCAGAGTCTCTAGCCCTCCCCCTGCAACAGCAGTCTGCCTGCCGCCATATTCCTAGCAGGGCAGAACAGGAGCATTCCAACGATTTGTTCTTTGTTTGTTTCACAAATGAAGCAGCTCCCTCAGCTGTCAAATAGTTCTCAGAGCTTTCGGGGTGGGGGGGAACAGCATGCTTGCAGGACAGCAGAGATCACAAAACACTGAGCACAGTCATCAGGGCGGGCGTTATGCGATACTGGTGGATGCCAATTGTCTCGACAAAACAAACAGCAGAATCCACACTGACTCTGTCGACAATAAAGGGAGGGGAAAGACAAAAGTTTTTTGCAGGGCTGGAAGTTTTTGGTTGCCAAAAACTGGGTGTTTTTCCTGACAAAAGTCACATTGTAGTGTAAATGCTCCGATTTGTCTCCAAAAGGCAGTTTTTGGTGACAAAACGTGCCAATGTAGACAAGGCCTGAGCTGTGAGCACCAGAATGGACCACAGTTTTCCAGCATGGATACACCAGTGCCAGTCTGAGGTAAAGAGCAAGAGTATATGAGGGGGGGATATGATAGAGGTATATAAAATCATGAGTGGTGTAGAGAGGGCCGATAAAGAAAAGTTATTTATTAGTTCCCTAAATAGAAGAACTAGAGGACACCAAATGAGATTAATGGGGAGCAGGTTTAAAACTAATAAAAGAAAGTTCTTCTTCACACAGTGTGTAGTCAACCTGTGGAACTCCTTGCCAGAGGAGGCTGTGAAGGCCAGGACTATAATAGAGTTTAAAGAGAAGCTAGATAATTTCATGGAGGTTAGGTCCATAAAAGGCTATTAGCCAGGGGATAAAATGGTGTCCTTGGCCTCTGTTTGTCACAGGCTGGAGAGGGATGGCAGGAGACAAATCGCTTGATCATTGTCTTCGGTCCACCCCCTCTGGGGCACCTGGTGCTGGCCACTATCAGCAGACAGGATACTGGGCTAGATGGACCTTTGGTCTGACCCAGTAAGGCCATTCTTATGTTCTTAGTATCTCTGCTCTTACTTTAGATTTTCCTGTTTATATACCCCAGGGCCGCATTAGCTGTTTTGGCCCCAGTCACACTGGGAGCTCCAGTTCAGTTGATTACGCACCACCATGAACCTCAAAACTCCACTCTGCTTCCCAGGGTATAGTCCCCGACCCTGTAAGTCCGGCCTGCATTCTTTGGTCCTAGATATACCCTTTTTGCTATATTAAAGGGCATATCGCCTGCTGGTACCCAGTTTACCTAGCGATCCAAATCGCTCTCAATCCGTCACCTGTCCTCTCCATAATTCAGAACTCCCCCTCTTTTGTGGACCATCTGCAAACTTTATCAGTGATGATTCTGTGTCTCCTTTTAGGTCACTGGTTAAAAATATGAATTAGCATAAGGCCCAGAACAAATCCCTGCAGGATGCTGGCAGAGGTGGCAGCAGGAGCTTGCATCTCAACCAGGTCTGAGCTCCAGGACTTGGATCCATTTTGCTGCTTCTCACGCAGCTGCTGCTCTCAGCACAGCTAACGTCCACCTAGCAGCCTGGAATTCTATTTTGCTTCCAAAGGCTGAACTGGAAGCAGCAGACTCACCTTTGGTACGGACAGGAGACCCTGTCGGGGCCCGTAAAATAAAGGGACGTACACAGGGGACTGATGGATCAGAAATGCTTTCATAGGCAGCGATCAGGGGCTTGCCCTGCTCAGGAGGGCGGACAGATGAACAAGTGGTTGCAGAGGCCTCACAGAAGGGCCTTTTTCTCTGTTCCATTGGGAGGGAGGAAGCCAAGGGGGCAGACTTGATCTGTTTTCCTGGGGGTATGACAGGCGAATGTGGGGAGCAGAGCAAGGAGCTAACAGCGGAGTCACTCCCAGGAGCTAGCCTGACACCAGTTCCTTTGGAGGGGCATTCCCACCCAGCAACAAAGCTCCCCGCCCTTTGCACAGTCTCAGCACAAGGAAGTCGAAGCAGCACCTCCCACCCACCTCCCTGCTTACCCGAGAGGAAGCTGGAGTTGCCCTGCTCTGGGTTGAGCTTGCGGAGGCAGAAGGGGCTGTCGGGACTCTCGGACAAAGCCCGGGGCGAGTTCTCGTTGAGCAGCTCCGTGAGCCGCCGCCTCCGGCGGAAGTTGATCCAGAACTGGTAGAGCAGGTTGCTGTCGACGAAGTGGTGCTTGCTGGAGACTAGGAAGAGAAGAAGAAGGGGTAGAGCAGCTGGGGGGGGCGGGGTATCTTAGAGCAAAGGAGAGCTACACCTTCGCCATTCAGCACCTGCTGCAGTGCTACTGGTACTAGTCAGTTTCTCAACGTTTGACATTTTTCTCTTTGAAAAGCTCCAGCTCCTGGGGTCATGTGATGAGGGAAACCTTGGCTTTCATTGAAAAAAAAGTGTTCCTAACCCTCATAGTTGCAGAGAAAAGCTTGAAAATATGACCCTGTGAAGCAGGGGTGGGGAGCCTAAGGCCCAGGGGCTGGATGCGGCCCTTAGCTTACCTGGATCTGGTCTCCGAGGTCCAGAGCACCCACATCACTGGGGAGCCTGCGCTTGTGCTCCAGCTCCCGCAGGGCTGGAGCACACAAAATTTACTAGCCTGTATCCCCCCTAGGTTTTGGTGCGCGAGGGGAATGACTTTCTCCTCCTCAGTCTCCTTTTTTTTTTGCTTCTCGTAGCCCGACTGATTTTTCTGTGGGTTAGCAGCTCCTGACCAAAACAAGGTTCCCTACCCCTGCCATAAAGTCTACAATCAAACCTAAAGCTCAGAAATCAAAAGCCACCTAGAAGGAGCTCAACGATCATTATTTTAAGGCACTAGGCTTTTGGGGAGCTGGAGCCAGGATTTTTTTTTTTTAATGCTTGGGATTTTCAAGACAGTGTGCGCTCTTCTTCCCCTTTTCAATACCACAACAGTCTGGTGGTGGAGGGGAAGAGGGCTATTTTGTTACCGACCCAGCCCTGGGATATAGCCTCATCCTCTCTCGTCCTCAAACAGTCAGGCATGGCAGAGTGCAGGACTACATCTCCCACAATGCCATACATTGCAGAAGCATAGCAAAGTAATGCTGAGAATGTGAATTAAAAAGCATTCCCATGAATATCTCAGGGTACGTCTAAACTACATGGCTTCGTCGACGGAGCCATGTATATTTGTAATATAAATAATATGTAAATAATCGCAGCTTCATTTAAATGTACATGGCTGCCGCGCTGCAGCTCAGGGGCCAGTTTAGTTTCTGGCCCATTTTTCTGGCCATATGTTTTGGAGGGTTCATCTACATGTTCATTGGGTTATACAAGATGGGAAGCGACTGTCTAGGAAGGAGCATGGCGGAAAGGGATCTAGGGGTCATAGTGGACCACAAGTTGAATATGAGTCAACAGTGTGATGCTGTTGCAAAAAAAGCAAATATGATTCTAGGTTGTATCAACAGGTGTGTTGTAAGCAAAACTCGTGAAGTCATGCTGCCGCTCTACTCTGCACTAGTTAGGCCTCAGCTGGAGTACTGTGTCCAGTTCTGGGCACCGCATTTCAAGAAAGATGTGGAGAAATTGGAAAGGGTACAGAGAAGAGCGACAAGAATGATTAATGGTCTAGAGAACATGACCTATGAAGCCAGGCTTCATGAACTGGGCTTGTTTAGTTTGGAAAAAAAGAAGATTAAGGGGGGACATGATAGCGGTTTTCAAATATCTAAAAGGGGGTCACAAGGAGGAAGGAGAAAATTTGTTCCTCTTGGTTTCTGAGGACAGGACAAGGAGTAATGGGCTTAAAGTGCAGCAGGGGAGGTTTAGATTGGACATTAGGAAAAAATTCCTAACTGTCAGGGTGGTCAAATATTGGAATAAATTGCCAAGGGAGGGGGTGGAATCTCCCTCTCTGGAGATATTTAAGAACAGGTTAGATAGACATCTGTCAGGGATGGTGTAGACGGAGCTTGGTCCTGCCTTGAGGGCGGGGGGCTGGACTCGATGACCTCTTGAGGTCCCTTCCAGTCCTATTATTCTATGATTCTATGTAAGGGGACTGTTAGCCCCTTACTGAAACTCTGTGAGGCTGGCAAACCAAAAACCCCCACAGAGTTTCAGTAAGGGGCTAACAGTCCCCTTACATGTAGATGAACCCTCCAAAACATATGGCCAGAAAAATGGACCAGAAACTAAACCGGCCCCTGAGCTGCAACTGCCTTGTTTCCTCATTGATAATGCTGGCGAGGAATCTGCGCTGTGACCTCTGGGCGTGAGAGAGAGAGACATGGCCACAGAGCATGTGCACGGGAAGGTTTCAAGTGTCCCAAAACCCAGATGTGACATCTCAGTTCTATGCCTTGGAAATGGCACTTTGAGGGGGTGCCAAAAAGTGACTCAGATGCCTCCTCAAACATTCGGGGTGGGGGGGAGCTCTGGGCAGCCTGCTGTCACCCTTTTCCAAAAATAAAACTGAACGGACCCATTGCTACCTCGGAGTAAAAACTAGCGGTTGGGCACACGACCAGCATTTGTTACTTGGTATAAAGGGGGGTTTGTTCCGAGTACAGCAATGACCTCTAGTCCCATCCTCCAGCATCCATCCCCGTCCCCAAGAATTTCGGCTTACCATGCTGGATGATCCCATGTTCCAGCAGCGCTCGGCCCAGCTCCACGGCTTCCTGTCTGTTTGCTGTCTCCCCCTCCTGGATGAGCCAGTCAACCATTTCACAGCCTAGGAAGGTCCTCTGGTATTTCATGGCATTCTCCTCCCGCGCCTTCAGTATGGAATCTTCGACACTGATCAACCTGGCACAAATCACAAGGAGTCAGGTGGCACCTTAAAGACTAACGGCCATATTAAGGCATAAGAACGGCCATACTGGGTCAGACCAAAGGTCCATCTAGCCCAGTATCCTGTCTGCTGACAGTGGCCAGCACCAGGTGCCCCAGAGAGGGTGGACCGAAGACAATGATCAAGTGATTTGTCTCCTGCCATCCCTCTCCAGCCTCTGACAGACAGAGGCCAGGGACACCATTTTATCCCCTGGCTAATAGCCTTTTATGGACCTAACCTCCATGAAATTATCTAGCTTCTCTTTAAACTCTATTATAGTCCTAGCCTTCACAGCCTCCTCTGGCAAGGAATTCCACAGGTTGACTACACACTGTGTAAAGAAGAACTTTCTTTTATTAGTTTTAAACCTGCTCCCCATTAATTTCATTTGGTGTCCTCTAGTTCTTCTATTTAGGGAACTAATAAATAACTTTTCTTTATCGGCCCTCTCCACACCACTCATGATCATATCCCCCCTCAGTCTCCTCTTTTCTAAACTGAAAAGCTTTCGTGGGTCACAATTCACTTCGTCAGATGCGTGAAGAGAAAGAGAAAGAGACAGACGGTAAGGAGGCCAGGGGGTGAAAAGCAAGGTAGGCTGAGAAAAGGGATCTTTTATTTAGCCTTACACAAGCAACTTGGCAGGCGCTAACGCCAACTGGAGCGTTCATGGTCCCGCCCGTCAGGAGCAGAAAGAAAGCAAACAGCAAGGGGACCCAACACACATGGCTACACCACAATATGCTCCAAGCATCAAGATGTTCCCCCTCTCCATGACCCATTAGCCCAGGGCACTTTTTGGAGTGGCGTTGTCCCTGTCAGAAAGCTGTATGAGGAGGAACCAGAAGACCAGTCTTATGGTAACAGGACGGTTTGCAGCGGGCCGCCCCAGGACATGCATTTTTGGGGGGCCCTGCATTGATTGCCCCAACTGTCTATTAGATGGGCGAGACACAGGGAAAGAACAGGGGCCTGGTGTGGGGCAACAGCAGGTGTTGTCCCCCTGCACTCACCAGGTGGGCAGCAGGAGCCAGAGGGGTCCAGCAGCCTGATGCGCTTCGCTCCACCCACCTAACACGCTGCTTTTGGCTTCTTTACAGTGGCAGGAAGCAGAGCGCCCAGCCCCAGGGTGCTCCATTTCCCATCGCCACAGAGATGTGAGGTGCAGCAGGTGGTGTAGTGGAGCGGGGCTGTTGAATTGCTCCAGTTCCCACAGCCTACATGGTGGCGGGGAGGGGGGAGCTAGCAACCCCTGCTGCTGCCCTGCCAGCCCTATAATCTCCCTGGGCTGCATTGTTCAGGGGAGGATGCAAGGGGCAGGGCGGGGGTGGAGCAGAGCCGGGGCTGGGGGAAGAGGTGGGGGCAGGGCATGCAGTGAGAGGGGGGTGCCCCTCTCCCCAGACCACCCTCAGGACAGCCCTGATAACCTCAAAACCTCAAAGCCAATAAGAACCATGAAAACTGTCCAGGATGTTTTGTGGATTGGATTAGGCTTTAAAGCAGGCAGGTATGCGGAAGGGGTGAGGAAAAGAGAAGTCCTCACAACGAGGAAAACACTCGCCCAGCATGGAGACCTGAGAGGGAAACACCTCTCACAACCTGCACGTAGAACTCCAACATACAGTGTTTATTTCTGCTGGGATTCTACTTACAACTCCAGCATACAGAAATGCTCACGCCTCACTGAGACGTGGTTTGTAAGGCTAGACGGGCTGCCACATAAGGAAGGGCCAAAGAACAAAGCATAGCTTGGCTACACTGTGATGGTGGGGTAATAACGGTCTAAAGATTTTGAAGGCATGAACACCATGAGAGGAGAACTGCTTAGGATGGTCTAGCTAAATGTAAATGGACAAAATTACGAAAAGGAACATTGTAGGATGAACACGAGGGTAAGCAACTTAGGAGTGTACTTTTTATTGGTTTAATTAAAGGGGCAATTGTAAACTGAATTAAGCCAATGCAAACCCTTATGCAGACACTCCAAGGATCAGTTTAACTGAAGGTAAAATACATATCCACACAGCCTATTGTGGTGGTTTAACTACATTGGTTTAAAACAGCTCCTTTCTGTTTAAAATTATTATAACATTCTCATACATGCAGCCATCAGGCTCCCTAGAGAAATGGCGAAAGGCCCATGACTTTAAGACTAAAGTCTTAAATGGGTTACCTAGGGAGGTAGTGGAGTCTCCGTCCCTAGAGGTGTTTAAGTCTCGGCTTGACAAAGCCCTGGCCGGGTTGATTTAGTTGGGATTGGTCCTGCCTAGAGCAGGGGGATGGACTTGGTGACCTCCTGAGGTCTCTTCCAGCTCTATGGTTCTATGATTCTATGATTAAGACAAGTATGGGACCAAAATGGATGTTTAAAGTGAGATGTTTAACTCATATGAACAGAACTTACATTCTAGGTCTCATTCAAAACACGCCTGAGGAGACAGATGAGTCACTTGGTAGTTTAGTGCACAATGGAAAAGAGCAGCTAGTTCTGGAAAGATTCACTATAAAGGACTGTGCAAGTAATTGTCACAGAACCCAAAGGCATGTTAGAAAGGCAGCGTGCACGTTTTGCTTGTTTCAGGTGACTCCATGCAAACATGCTCCTTTCACGTGGATTTGAACCAAAGCCAGGCAAAAGAGGGCGGTTTCAGCTTCGCCAGTTCAAGGCCAACTCAAAGCAAGACTGAGCACATGAGCCAAAAAGCAGCAAACTTCCTGAAAATCTAAGATGCTAGACAACCCACAATCTAGATGCAGTTAAACCCGCATCTTCCTGGATTACAGAACTTTGAAAAGGGTGTGTCCACAAGAGGGTGCACTAACCCCATATATGCAAACAGCTAGCTCCTTTCAGAACGCGCCGCTTAGAACTTGTCTACACTTGAAATACTACAGCAGGACAGCTGTGCCGCTCCAAGGTAAACACTACCAACACTGGCAGGAGGGGCTGTCCCATCCACACAGGCAAACCACCTTCCTGGGAGGTGGTCAGTAGGCTGACGGAAGAATCCTCCATTCACCACGAGCTGTCTATTCAGGGGTGTGGACTTTTCCACTTGGTTTTCTAGCGTAGACCAGGCCTTGTGCTATTTAGTAAAAAGCCCAGCAATAAAAAGATTGCCTCAATCTGCTAATTTCGGACAGAGTAACATCAGAGGACAGCCAGCCCTTGCTGAGTTCTGCACAAGTTTGCCCAATGGTAGGTTCTCACTGTAGCTGCAGTCTGAGATTCTGATTGTTGGATGCTTAGCAGCCAGCAGGGCATCACGATGAACAAGTGCTTGAAACAGCCAGGTATGGCAGCAATTTAGGCCAGGATAAGGGTGCAGAAACTGAGGGAGGGGGAACCATGCCCTTACCACTTCTTAGTGGCCCGAATTATCATAGAATCATAGGACTGGAAGGGACCTAGAGAGGTCATCGAGTCCAGCCCCCCGCCCTCAAGGCAGGACCAAGCTCCGTCTACACCATCCCTGACAGATGAGCAAAGGGCGGGGGGGAGGGTAGAGAGAATCGAGAGGAGGTGGGGCCTTGTAAGAAGACAGTGTGAAGAGGGTAGAGAGAATCGAGAGGGGGTGGGGCCTTGTAAGAAGACAGTGTGAAGGTGGGCTTTCGGGAGGTGGGACCACAGATCAGACACCTGTGGGGTCCCCCAGATGCTTTTAGGGTGCTTCCACCCGGGCCTGGGTGCTCTCTCCTGGGCCTGGCCTACACTTAAAAATTAGACCAGTCTCACCACTTAACTCATTGCCCTGAGCACCAGAGTTAGGGCCACCAAATCCCTGATCTAAACGTGGCGAGTTTGATAGGTGAATTCTTCCATGAACTTCGCTACAGCCTCTCAGAGAGATGGATTCCCCGCATCTATGGAAAAACTGCCTCCAACAACATAGGAAGCATTTACAGGACGGTGCGACAGCAGCACAGTTCCAGCGCCACCCTGTGTCACTTCAGCACTGAGATACTCACTTCAGCACTGAATCTGGTTGTAAGAAGAGACCGTTTGAGATTTAGAAATACAAGGGATTTGGGGGGGGGGAGCGCGAAGCCAGGTATTGAGGTAGAAAATAGCTTCCCTCCCTAAATGAGAATTGGTGTCAGCTGTGATTGTATTGCTACTTTTTTTTAAAACAAAAATAAAATTTGATTTTCTTCTCCCCTCTCCCCTACCTCCACATTTTGCCACTAGAAAAAGTGGAGGAGAAATAAATGAACAAAAGGTTGGGGCAGTGGAACCTAGTTTTTCAAAATCCACACACATGATGGCTGTTTTGCAAAATGCAAAAACAAAAAAGAATCATGGGAAATTTGGAAAAAAAGTTACAAATGTCTGAAAGATTTCCATGACTAACTTTTTTTCCCCGAGCTGGCACTATCAATCATCCAAGGGAAGTATCACAGGACAGGATATGCCAGCAACAGTCTTTAAGTCCAGTGTAGGAAAGATGGAGG